ACCGTCAAGTTCTTCCATCATCACTTTGACGTCGGCTGCCTCCTTTTGGAATTCTCCAATTAATTTGTAGAGTGAGGGGTGGCTTTTCCCTACTATTGTCTGGAACCTGTTGTGCCATGCCTCAGTGGCATTATTTGTACGTGGCTGATTTTCCACAGCTGCTATGTAGTGATTCCAGAGGGCTGGAGGGTAACGCGGAGGAACCGTTCGTCGAGTTCTTCTGTTCCGATGTCCGATGACGTATGTTTTTTCGAAGTAGTCCCCGAAGTCAGCCATCCTTACGGGGAGGTTGTCGATCACCACTTCACAGGCTTCCTTGACATCATCTACCGGAACAAAAGCCAAGCCGACCACTTCTCTGAAGGCATTTCGTATCGAGTCATCCTCTGGGTTGCGGTGGGCAACCTGCAGACCACCTTCTTGTAGATGCCTCCACGCAGCTTGGCGCAAATGAAATAAGCATAGCCTTATCTCTGCGTCACTGAAGATGGTCTTGGTGGCGTTGATGATGCCCACTTCCATGTCGGAGATAACAGTTACCGGTTTCGGCGACGCTATCCTCATGTCCCGACACTTGTCGACGACAGCCTGCAGTACGGTCCGGTAAGAGGCTTCCGATTTGTCCGGAAGAAGGGCAAATACGAAAGGAAACACTTCCCCTCCATATTCACCATGAATCGTAAACACTTGGGTAAATATATCTGGCGACGTCTCAAACGTCCCATCCAGGTTTACAATAAGAGACTGAGTGAGTCTCTTCAAAAATTGTCTAGTAGAAAATACCAAAATGCGGTTTTGAGGGGGCTCGTCATCTTCTTCGTCGTTCCAGGAGTCATATATTAGAAATTCTTTACCGTCCAATGTGTTCTTATACTTCTGGGGAATGTCGCCTATGTCGCCGATAGTCTTGGGGTTTCTTGGGTAGCTCTTACTTCGTCGCTTGTTGAATGTCCTCTTCATACTCTCACGCAGCGGGAGATGAGGCAGCACACCCGACGGGACCTGCACATAACGCAGTAACGGCAGGTTACACTGACTGCACTGTAAAAATAAATTTCGTGATTTTACGAAATTTTCTCGGTTAATTTTCTAGTACGAAAACTTCGTTTTTAACCAATTACGATACGTCGTTATTTTACGAATTGCTTCGTAAAACCCAAAGCTCTAACTAAGAAATGAAATTTGCATATATTTTGTCAAATTTTATGACATATGACCCCAAAATTATTTGCATTCGTTACGAAATATTGTTGTGATGTGAGAATGTGTGTGTTTGTGTGTGTTAGACTGGTCTGCATGAGTTGTGTTTGGCGCGCCATCTGCGGCGCGCTGGCAGCGCCCCGCGCGGCGGCCGAGAGAACCCGGTCGGCACCGGCCGACCGGCGCGCGTCGCCATGGCCCGGCTGCGCGCTGCGCACTGCGCCGCTTGCGCCGAGAGCGTCACTCTGGTGTTGGCGGTTGATGTGTACGGTCGTGTGATGATGATTGTGTCCATTGTGTCTTGTGTGCCTTGTGCTGCCCTGAGTTGGTTTTAATAAACCCTGTGCCTGTTCGAGTGTTAACCCTGCTCTTTCTCTTAGCCTCCTTACCCATTACCGCTCATTATAACAGTGGTGGCAGCGGTGGGATGCAGGGGGAGGCAGCCGTGTAGAGCAGATTTTCACCATCGTGGGCCACTTGCATGGATCCAGCTTGGTTTATGTTGGTGGCCAAGTACTCGGCCAGCACCTCGCCTTTAGGTACATCACTCTCACTCAAGGCCCACAAGTTCTTGCCGAGCAGTCCATTGGAGTGCACACTCCGCTTCCCAGATTTGACGTCCCAAGCAGAAGCAGGGCGAGGGGCCTTAAAGGGTGGTGGGGCAGAGCCGGCTGCAATGGTCTTCTTCTTCGGAATAGGATCCAAGTATTGTGAGGCTAGCTTGAGGTCCGTCAGGGTGCCAAATGCTATTGCCTTGACCGTTGTGGCGGCAACCACTGGCACAACTGAGCCTTGCTTCGGCAGGTTTGGCGCACGGTCCCACCTATGTAGGTGGGCCCACTTGCTGGCTGCGAGACTATTCGCTTCTGGTACTCCTGGACCATGATATGGGGGGTCGCCCGGCCCCATGTTCTCTTTGATGTAATCCACTACTGTCTTCTTAGCTGCGACGAATGTCTGATAGAAGGCAGCCGGTGGACTGTCGCTTACCAATCTGAGGATGATTTGAGCCACCTCAAGGGTGAGAGGCAGCTCGTAGCATATGGGTGAAGGGACCCACCCAGGCTCCACTCCCCTCAATAGCTTATTTATAGCCTCAAGAGGCTTAATGGTGAGTGGTGTCACCTCTCCCACGGGCTTGGTCCAGCTAGTAGGGCTAAGCCACCCGGCCCACACCCTATCTTGGTGAGACCGTACAAGTATGTCTGAACCAATGAGCGCCCGTAACATCCAGGGGCGGAGCATGAAGCCAAAAGCGGCTTGTAATGTGCTGGGTGTAGCAAGTCTGAAAGGATCTGATTTCTCAGGCCACACGGGAGCTTCGTTCTCAATGATGGGCCCCTCAGGGCTGTGCGGGCTGTAGCTGGGTGATTTCGGGCCTTCTTCAAGGCTGTGATGTGAGGCACTGGGTTCCGAAGAAGACCCAGAAGCAATGTTGATGACGTCAGCCTGCACGCCGGTGCCTCCAGAGGTGGATGCCTCAATTACGTCTTCCAACTTCACAGGTGTGCTCTTGGAAGTGCCGCTGCGCATCAAGGCCTCGGGGTCTGCGGCTGGTGAAACCAGGGGTGAGCTGGCCAATTGGGATTTCACTGTAGCTCTGGTGGGTCTTGGCTTGGGCAGCTCACTGGTGCCAGGTGTGGTGGGAACAGGAGTGGAGCCCCTGCCCTTCCCTGGCTTGAAGGGCGGTGCTCCCACTGCCTCAGCCGCCTCCTTACGCTGCCGTCCTTTCTCTTCTGCCAGGGCTACAGTCTCGGCATTCGCCGTGGCGAAGTCCCTAGACGGCGTCCCCATGCTGGACGGTTGTTATAAGTTTTTTCTCGCCAGAGCTGCACACAACGAACGTCTTTGGTCCACCGTACAGGAAGGGAAATCTGACGATGACAAGTGTCAATACTGACGTGATGTCGGCCCCATCAGGAAGAAGGGCCTGACACCTAAGCTGCAAAGGCCGTGGGAGCATGGCTGGGTGATCACCCACAAGATCAATGAGGTGCTTATGCGCATCCGCAAAGGGCGAAAGATGCGGTGCGTGCACACAGACAGGCTGGCGGCCGACGACAGTGCTGGCTGTCCCTCGACTGGGCCGCTCCTAGCGTTCCTGGGCAAGGTGGAGGTGTAAGTTCAAAACACCGGTTGCCTACCTCGGGAGACGCCAGGGGCCCGCCTGAACCAGTGCTGCCGCTGCCTGCCGCCTGGCCGGCTCAAGCAAGCCAGACAGCGAGGTGGGGGGGCCTGGGGGGAGCGAGGCTCACCTGCCGCGCGCGCCTCGCGCAGGGAGTGGGGCTGGGCATGCGGTCCGCACTGGTTTAGGCGGGCCCCTGGCGTCTCCCGAGGTAGGCAACCGGTGTTTTGAACTTACACCTCCACCTTGCCCAGGAACGCTAGGAGCGGCCCAGTTGAGGGACAGCCAGCACTGTCGTCGGCCGCCAGCCTGTCTGTGTGCACGCACCGCATCTTTCGCCCTTTGTGGATGCGCATAAGCACCTCATTGATCTTGTGGGTGATCACCCAGCCATGCTCCCACGGCCTTTGCAGCTTAGGCGTCAGGCCCTTCTTCCTGATGGGGTTGAAGAACCAGAC